GGTAATGGCAGGGCAATGCATTGCATCTGAGATGAAAGGACACAACATCATTTCTGAGGCTGTCGCCGAGGTAATAGAGGCGTTGCCACGGCAGCCAGGTAAACACAGGTAAGATGACAAGGAGAGGAGATTAACGGTGGGATCGCAATGACAAACTATCTCGGCAGTGGACAGGCCTAAAGTAAACAGCAAAGGCATGTTTAGAAAGCTTAAAGTTCAAATGTGTCTTTAAGTAATCTCATAGTACAGGAGACACTGCATCTGTCAAAGTAAAGTAAGTAAAAGTCGATAAATTAATGTGGAAAAGTCATTGAGATGAACCCATTAGAATTCCTATATTGTGACAGGGATGACTAAGAAACTCCATTCACAATGAAAACAACAGACAGCTTTCTTCTAGAGGAAAAAGGGAGGTTTACAGTGCAGACAAGGTAACAAGAAGAGCAAATAAGGTTAAGTTTTCAAGGAGAACGAGATTCTTTTTAAAATCTAATCAGAAAGTAAAAAGAAAGAGTTACTTGGACAATGCATTTGAATAATTCACAAAGGATATGCATGAGGCCTGACTGAGCATAATACAGATTGATCAACGTAATGAAAGACAGAGAACTACTGAGGACATTTTGAATTCATAACAATAAAGTTTCGTTCCCAGAGTACTGTCAGCATTGTCAGACTGAATTGCTCATTCAGAAACCATGTGGGAATATGAATTTGCCCAGACTAAATTATTGTAATCTTTTGTTTGTAAATATGACATGATAATAAGTTAGAATGGCACTCCCAGGCTGCTTGCTGCTTCAACAAACCAATCCAATACACAAAACATGCACTTTGTAACTTTCCTGGGGTGAGGAGAGTCAGCCAACTGCTTGTCTCCATAGAGTTATTATTGCTTTTTCAGAAATATTCCATAGTATGCCATTAACTTTAACTATTTTGTATGCATTCCATTATAGGTGTTTTTAATGCTAAAAATCTTAAAATCTCACAGTGATCCGAGTTTCCTCTCCAGAGATCATGCAAACTGAAAAGTTTCCCACTGCACCAATTTACTCCAAACGTACTACTTCGTCAGTAGGTACAACTACATGATCAAACCATTTAATTAAACATTAAAGACATAATACAAAATACAAAATTCACCTACATAACATATTTGTTTTGTATCAGGTGTCTTCCATAAAATGTGAAAATCACTACAGTTTTACGGAATATGATTTGATGAAACAACCGCAGGGAAGGGAACTATCAAATGCGGTGGAGCAACCGTTGTTCATAAGAATTTGCAATAAAGATACTATGAGTGCCGGGGTTTCAATGACCAGAGAAATGTCACGTATTGCGTTAGGCCCGAACTCAGAGTGACTTTGAGCTAATTCTTATTGCACAGCCACTGTCTGGTGAGTCATCTCTGCATCTGATGTACTCTGAGCACAACAAAGACAGGGGGTAATAATATCCTACCAAAGTCTGTTACTGCCGAAACAGGACACTGTGGGAGCTGTACAGTGACGGTTAGAGATTTAACTAAGATGTGTTTCTATGATAAATTATACAGAAACTGTACACTATTAATATTAAGAGTAAAATGGTTTTACAGTTCTGCTTAAATTACAGTTTGTAAACTCTTCATGTGACCAGTTCCGATAACACATTTTAAAGTACAATATATTGCTGAACTAAATAGATGATAAACGATAATATTCAGAATGACATAAAACCCCTAAAGCAGGATTATCCCCCAAAAACTTCTAAATGTACAATAATGTTTAAAAACATGAGCTACTTTAAATAAATAGCAAAATAAATCACTAAGTACTTATTAAGAAAAAAAATCCCTACTAGTAAAAAGAAAACATTCCCATTATATTATAAATACTGACCTAAACATATTGTTCTGTCATGTATCGAACCATAAGTCAATATAGTAATTATTGTGATATGTCTACATGTATAATATACTTTCTTCTTTATCATTCCTTTTCAGGAGTGTTGGGGAAAGAAGACTGAGGTTGAGTAGACATTTGGACAGAAGTAATTTTTAGAATTTACAATTATCAATTCATGCACTTGTGGTAGAACACATTTCAGCTTTCAAAAAAGAAGCAATAAGTCTGTGTTCAGTGTAGTGTCAAAAAGACATTTAGAATAAAACAACAATATAATCTCATAGGTAACATTACAAAAAGCATTTTAGATCATGTGAAATAGTGTATGTAAAATATTTAGTACAAAAGTTCATCTTAAACCCATGCTATCCCGCAGTAGCAGGTCCGCAGCAGAAGCCCAAACTGCACTGGGGCATAAGCTGCCCTCATTGTTGACTCAGCACTTTTGCCTCTTCATCTATTTCCATAGCAACACATCTATTCCCCTCCTCAACCTTTATTACCTCACGTGGACATTCGGGACTGACCCATTTGACTCCCATGGCGCTGTATTACATTAGTGTGTCTCTCAAAAACACATTTTCGCTCCTTCACAAGAGCCTTAACCCAGCAGGAGACTGACATCCACATGCACTTACACACATACAATGAATGGAGAGATTAATTCAGACTTTCATCATTGGGTGGGGGCCCCGTGGTGTGTGGGGTACTGTGGGGGTCTGTGGGAGGTGGAAGGTGGAGACTGCGGGGGTCTGTGGAGGCTAATGGGTTATATGTGTGAATGTGGCGTGTGTGTCCAGGACCAATAAAGGCAGCACTAGAGCGCAGTCTCAAAGGGACTCTAAAACAAACAGAAAGTGGACAGGGCTAAGGACAGAGTAAGCTCTAAGCACTGTGGATATTTCACTTCAGGGTTTATGTACTAGAATATGAAGTAGTGCAAGATAAATTCAAGTAAAAGAACTGATACTTTGAACCGTAGAAGTGAGTATATACACAAGACGATTTATTGGGTTATACACTATTGAGTAACTTCAGCTGTGCTTCTTGCTATAAGAAAACTATTAATTTACTTACCAGTGCAGTCAATGTAAATACCAATTCCACTTCCATTACTAGTATACACTACTGTGTAACACAGAATATGCATGAACATGTGTGATTTTCCAATATTAAAAACTAAGAGTATCAAATTGCAAGCTCTTTTGCTCCAGGTGCACGCAAAAAGAACAGAGAACTACACAGACCTTTGCTGTTTAGTGCAGCTGATATGAAGAAATGACTGTTTAACACTTTTTTTTTTTAAAACCTTGTAAGTTGATGACATACAGGAGTCATTTTGATATTAAAGGTCAGGATGATCCAAAAACAGCATAAATACACAAAAAAGTTCAAAGTTCAAATTATATGTATCACTTACTAAATAAATGATCAATTGTATTGCACAATGTAAAACAATAACAACCAATTTCCAAGTTTATGATCAAGACCAGCACATTAGATAGAGTTAGTGCTTGTAGTTTATCTGACAATAAAATTTACTCTTCCTTGTCTGGGCGGTTAAACTCTATTGACTGTATTGAAATAACATGTTAAGTCTTTGGATTCCTGTTCACTGGCTGTGAATGAGTGACCGCTCACTCCTCCGCTCTTCATCACATTGAAGTGCTCTACTGCTTAAATCAATTCTGTTCCCGACCTGATCCTATATATCGCAGGGGCGGGCACAAGCTGATGCCAATGCTTCTGTTACTGTGATAGTTCACTGTGTTCCTGTTCAATAAATGAGTAAATCACACAGCAACAAAAACTCAAACCTAACTGTGCACAACCACCTTTTCTCATTTAAAACTTGACAAATTTCTTTCTATATTTGTCAAACAGTAATCTCTTGACAAATGTGTTTACCGTGACGAGTTACAACCTGCAGTATTTGGTCAGGATTATAGTAAAAAAGCTCTAGTAATAGCGTCAGTGCTATTGTGTTCATTTGACAGCCTTACTTTTTCCACATTACATCAGAAAATATTTGTATATTAACTTCCATCTGAGCCAAAATTAGGGTTCATAGGTCTAAACAAGATTATAAAGCATGTATTACTGGAAAATGCAATACTAAGACTTAATCTAAACTCAACTGGACCCAATCAGAATTGAAAGTTAGGATGAACCAAAGCTTTATGTGGGAAAGTTGAAAAACCTACAGCGTATAACAAAAACAAATCTGTTTCTTCACTTGTACAACAGGATATGCCTAAAATAAACCCAAAAGTGGCTCTCCTCCTAGAGTTTGCAAATCACTATCTTAAACCAGAAAAATGAAGTCATTGTTTGCTTTTGAGTAAGACAGCACAACTGCCAACTCACATGTGTTTTCAATGCCACCACAAGATCTTGAGGAAATATTTTGATACTCATAAATCCTCTATAAAGCTTCATTCTTTATCTTGTATTGCAGCCACAGATAACATGGATCTCTCCCACAGACTAGAGGTTATGAAATAGTGCACAGCTGCAGCATGTGGCCACAGGGCAGGAGCAGGACAGTAACAACCAGAACAGACAGGTGACCCGCGAGGTCTCCCACATCTCCGCTCCCGTCTGTGGCTCACCGCAACTAATTATACCTCAGTCACAAACACCCAGAGGCACACCCAAAACAATGCCTAATTTAACACAAGTGGTACACTACAACTACAGTGTAATAACAGCTATCCGTGTGAAACATGGAGCACTTCCTCAGAAAGATTTTGAGACAAACTTGCTCCTCTGCGGTGCGTCCACAACTTCAGCCTGGTACAAGTTTGTCTTCACCAACTGTCACATGAGTTGTGCTGCACTCAGGTCTGCTGTATGTGTGCCCATTCTGAGCACGTGGATTTGCACGTATAAAGCAAACAGCATTTGAGGCAGGGACCATGTACAACCCATTTTCCACAGCATGGATGTTGGGCTTATCCCTTTAACCAATTCTATTACTTTTCACAAGCTGAGATGAAGAAGTGAAGTTGACAGTTCTCAAACAGTTCCCATAAGTCATGGGTGTTTTTTTTTTTTTTTTTGCAATGGTTGAGTGTTTGAAACAGCAACAGTGAGTAAATTACCTACCTTTACAGGGGAGCTCCTGGTGGCTGTGGGCAGCTCTCTAATAGCACTGCCCGGGGAAGAAGCGCACATTCCTGCTGCGTAGCCCTGAAGCGAGCCCCCGGGAAGGGACTGCCGACTGCCCGTTCCGTTGCCTCGTTGGGGTCGCTGCTTGATCCCGTCCAAGAGGCGAACCAGGAGGATGTTCGCGGGGAGGTCGTCCACCCCGCAGTCCACCAGGATGCGGCACTCCGGGCAGCGGAGCTCGTTTCTGGAGCTCACAATGTTCTCCAGGCAGCGGCGGCAGAAGGTGTGCTGGCACGGCAGCACCTTGGCCGTGGTGTCCAGGCGTTCCAGGCACACCGAGCACTCCAGCAGATCCAGCAGCGACGAAGACTCGTCCATGTCGGCGGAGAGCGTGAGCATCTGGGCTTCACTGTCCGGGACGTCGCGGAGACTTGTTTGTGTTCAGTGTAAAAGAAGCGAGACCACAGAACATTCTGGGAGGCGGACCCTGCTCCACAGCACTGGAGTCCCCGCGCGCAAAGAGGCAGTTCCCGGGAGTTGTGGAGGAAGGCTCTCCGCTGATCACTCTCCGTCTCCCGAAACGTGTTTGTGTTTCGGTGGCTCTGCGCTCGTCTCCTCCTCCCGCTCTCTCCAACAGCAGCTGTGCACAAAACGGTGAGGTCACGCTCTCATCATCATCATACGCGCGCCCATCAAAACCGCGGCGCGCGCACGAACCTGAGGCAGAGATACGGGGGAGAGAGAGAGAGACCACCGCCACAAATGGGAAGGTCCCCTGCCGCTGCTCTTGTTGCCAGCCAGGTTTTCTTCCCACACCTTCAGCACTGGGCAAAACCAGAGCTGCCCTGACCGCTGTGGAACCGGAGAGCAGCGGAACAAAGACGCATAGCTACTGTACTTTAAATAACTGTATTGACAAAACCATCAACTTTATACGAGGATGTTTCCAGCGTTTTTAAATCTAGGCTAGATTGAATATTTCAGTATAACCCTAAATTTCATCGGCTGTTCGTGTACTACATTCAAAAGAATCCATAGTGTTTAATATGGAACAAAAGCAAAGAGGCCATCACCTTATGCTGCCCACCTGGCACAGACCTCCTGCATTACCTCAACAACTTCAGCACTGTATTGCACTGGGAAAGTAGGTTTGTGGCGACACCCGGTGGTGACAATTGAATTGGATTTTTCCTCGTTTCCACTGCAATCCATTTCTTTCAATTTTAGATAAGATTTTAATGGTGGTTAATGGTGTAATAATTAGTAGATTTTTTTGGTGTGTTATGTGCTTATTTTTTTAAATAAAGTCATCTGTTTTATGTCAGCCTGAAAGCTCTTCTTTGCACTTCAACATGCACATGTACATAGATAAAATACAAAATGTCTAATTAATTAAACTGTCAATTAGTCAGACTTCTAGCCTATATAGACTGTTGTCTTTCCTGTGTCTATGAACTAGCTTATTCCCTGTTCACCTGTTCAGACGTGCCCTGCTCTCACTCTCCCAGCCTAGGGAAAGATTTACGCGCGTGTGTATGTGTGTACGTGGTATGACAGAGACGCCTTCCCAAGCATGATGGGGGCTCGCCTGTTACCACCCACGATGAATTGTGAAGGCCGAGAATGCAGTAGCCAATGAAGTATGAGACTGATGTGTTTTGGCTACATAATGCAATTCAAAACAATGAGGGTATGTTTTAGCCATTTAAGTGCACACATGCATGGGGTAAGAAGAAAAGCAGCCTTTGTAAGCAAACTGTAAGCTATGCTGCACCATACAAAGGGTAACTTCAGGACTTGTGCCATCACTAAACCGGCTTTGTATTTTATCTCCAGTCTACAGACATTTTTATTGCTCTATTTTTGCCCATGATGGCTTAATGTTGCAATAGCAGAGCAATCTCAACAGCTAAAACCTGTGCATTTGTATTGTTGAAAAGACTATTGTAACACCATTACAAAAGTGATTCTCACACTAAAATAAAATGGACTAAACTATTTAAAAGATTGCTGTGAACAAAACCAGCAAATATCACAGGATAACCAAAACATAATCTAAAGAATGCGTATTACAAAATGTTATGCAAGTCAAGCCCAGGACTACTGTAAATCAGGACTAAAAATAGATGTAATAACAACCAGACCTGATTGCAAGAAAACTTGGTCTAAATGAGATTTCAATAAAGACATTGCATCATCTTTAATAAACTAATATAAGCTTAACTTAAGGTACACAAACAAACTTTTCTGGTGAAGGGTTCGCCACCTTCTTGCCTCCATACATTTTATTGCAATGCTTGGAATGTTCCACAGTATTTCATAAAATGTATCGATCTTTGTGAAGACAAGCAGATGATACCCCAGGCCAAGTTACAGGTCCAGTCTATATAGAGTGGAACATTATGGTCAAACAATATGGCAGGTGGCTGACCCCCACCCAAGTAAGTTACATAATTCATCTTTAAGAAGATCAAAACCAAACCAAAAATATAGACAACAGTAAACTAAATCAATTTGATGAAACCAAGACACAAGAAGTGCCATCTGTGTACCAGCTGAAGAAGTACCAACAGAAGGGTATTTTGAGAGCCACTACCATAACCACAAGAACTTACAAGAACTGGAAAAGCTTGTAAACTTTATCAAACCCACTCATGTCCTGAGCGCAAATGTCACCGACTTTAGACTGTGATTCTCCACAGCCAGTAATTGAAAATGACAGAAGAAAATTATTATCAGATAAATCTCCCCCTCGATCTATTTGAATTTCACAGTTTGGGTTCCCTTCAGGACAAGACGCTGTCAGCCAAACAAAGGCTGGGTGCTGCTAAAATAAAAACATGTCAATTAGAGAAGCAGCATTTGTCACAAGAGGTAGGATAAAAATGCATTGTGGATTTCATTTTATTGATAAATCAGGCTCAAGTTTTTTTTGTTTGTTTTTTTTCATGAAAGGTTTTGACTTTGGCAGGCACATTTGCATTAAACGTGTTTGCTTGTGCATTCATATTTAAATCAACCCATTTCTTCCACTCCATACGGACTTTAAAGGAGGCTTTTATATATAATTCCTGGACTTATTGATAGCTCTCCTTAGGCAGTCTATCACTCCTTGACAAATAGATGGGTTTTCCAAGTGAATGCCCAAGAGGAAATCAAATTTATAGGCCCAAAATGATTAAATGATGTTATGAATATATATGAGTTTGTACCTATGCCTACACATCTCTCTTATTGAACTATGTCCTGCATTTATGCAAAAAGTAGGTCATCTGACACCCCATCACCATGGCAACTGGTGCTGGTTACAGAGCAGTTAAAAGATGTGACGCCTTTGTGCAGTGAGATTACTGAAGGGGCACTAAGAGGTCACTGAGTTAAAGTGTTACATGAGTTTTAGAAGTTTTACATGGGTTCAGTTTCCTTTTACAGGTACCACTTTGAGGACTTTTTATATTACTTTAAGAATGCCCTATCTTGTCAGATTTCAGAAAGCTAGCAGAGCTGTGCATGAATAATACTTGGATAGAAGACTGTTGGGGCCCCTCTAGGGCAACACTGGCTCTCGTGCATACTGTTGTTGTGTCCTTGAGCAAGGCACTTGACTCACCTTGCCAAGTATGAATATGATATGTGAGTGAGGTTGTTGGTGGTGTATCAAAATGTTTTTAAAATAGTGCTAAATAGGTGCTATACTATACTTCATGCACATTTTAGCACTTTCCTTGGACCAAAGTGCCCAGTTTTGGCAAGTTCCTGTTTCCTAACTTCAGATAGGTTTCAGCAAAGTTGGGCAAGTAGTAAAAAATATTTTTAACCATTAGTCTCACTCTTTCATACAGCAAATTCATAATCTACAAGCAAAATCTATAATTTAGAGTGGTGTATATGATATATTAGCTTTGATTAAAATTTAATTTCTACTTGAAGAAACTCTCTTTGCTTTGCTATCCACATACTGCTTGAACATAACATTAGAGTCATGTTTTAAGCCCATTGGTTTCATGTTTTTGAATCATTGGCCTGGAGAGAACACATTACTATGATGAAAAAGACATCAGTGTCTCACCCATGGAAAGTGCACTGAATCATATGTTCATCTCACTCTTACAGACATCAAACCATCCTAAGGGAAAAGGAAGTTTGTTTTTAACATTTTTTCTAGTAAATTTAAGTTATACCAACTTCATTAAACCAAGAATCAAATTAGGTCTCTACAGATTTATTCTTCGAGCTACTACTTTGAAGTTTTCTTTTTGAAGGTCATGGGGGTGGGGGATAAAGCAACAGTGAGAGAATGATATGTGACAGCTGACGAACAATCTTATTATATTTCCATGAGAACAGTAGTGAATCATTAAAGAGTTTTGTTTATTAATCTTTTATTTTTGTTTAGTTCATTATATTAATAATCAATAACCTATTCTTCAAACTAAATATGGTCTTTGTCTGTGCTCCATTGAATACAGATTAATTTATAGATATATGTAATTGTTGCAATATGTGTAATTTTGTTATTCTAGTGTTCATAATCTGATTGACTGTATTTCTGGAAAGGTTTGCATTGGGTTAAGAAACATGTTTTGAATTGAAGCAAAATGACAAAAAATTCTTAATGATATAAGCAAAAATATAGTATAGATAGGAGCCAATGTCATGATAACACAGCCAAGCCAGCCAGAGTGTAAGAGAATGAAAATAGATACTACTTAGAACTGCTTAGGAATTAGGAACTACTCTAAGCACTTCTGTGTTTTGAGATTGCTTCTTCTATTTAATGAATACATACTGTTTTCATTTTGTGTAATGTAATGTAATGTAATGTAATTTCTGCATAAAAATGTAAAGCTCACTAGCACACTGCACTCTGGTCATCTCTTTTATTTTTAAAGTGCAATAGAAATACAGTTGGATTGGATTGTATGAGACCGCCGCTTGTGCATTGCTTGTTGGTGTATACTGGCATCCATCACAGGACAGTAAGTACAGGCTTTGCTTAATTTGTGTTTTGGTCTGATCAGTGACAGAGCAACCATCTTTCTCTCATCACTACTCACCAGTCTTCTTGTTATCCTCTTCATATCCCCTCCATCCTCTCCTTCATCAAATCTCTTCCTCCCTCCGCTGAGTCAGGAAGCCCCTGGATTGACTTCAATGCAACTCTAAAAGAGGAAGCCGACATATTGTAGACAAGAAAGAGGAGAGAAGAAGATGAAAAGTGATTGAAAAGAGAAATAGGGAAAAATACAGTTACATAAGATGAAATAATATTAGACAAACGCAAAGCAAAAGTGTAAAAAATTATAGATAGAAAGAGAGGGCAGCAGGGAGAGTAATTACAGGACTCCTGGTGTTTTCAAAGCATTTCTTTTATCTTACCCTTCCTGTGGCTAAGAATCAAGATGAAGCAGAGCGGAAGGAGGAGGAGAAGTCCAAGGCCTGGTAGTCCCAGACAGGCAACACACAGCTCAAGTCATTCACAGCGCACACAAACACTCGCTAAACCACTGTACCTGTGATCCAAGGGAGGTGGGATTATTTGAAGAGCCCCCCCCTAAGGTACTATGCAGTGCAGGCTTCACTTGAGTAGGCGACAGACTTGTTTGGCTATGGCATAAAGAACAGTGGAGGGGGATTACAGACAAAAAGTTAATAATACAACTTTAATACCGGTAAAGATTTAACGATGAAAGAGTCTTAGTAATAGAAATAAGCCATTATAAGTGTAATTTGACTAACTATAGCATTATTGAAGTCATGTGTGAAATATGATATAAGCTTAATAATAAGATAATTTTAGCAAATAAATCTTTAGCAATACCTTAATTTAACCTTCACCAAAAATCTACTTTACTAGTCAGTAATTTTACCTTAAAAATAAAAGTGAATTGCAAGTATACCTCAGAAAATCAGAATCTTCAGGCTGGATGGTCATCAGTAGCAGCAACATGGCAGTATGGTGGAAATCATCGATCTGCTAAAGTAAGAAAATAATATTGAATGATGCAGATGGGAGTGATAAGTTTAACCTTTTGAAGATAAATATAAAAAGAACGGATATAATGCAAGAAAATACAGTTTATTGTGACCAGACGTCCCTATTTATCCGGGACAGTCCCAAATTTTGAACCCTGTGTCCCCCGTCCCATTAGATTATCCAAAATCATTCATTTGTCACAGTTTTATACACGAAATGTCTCACGTGTCCCTATTTTTGACCAATTTGATATCTGCCAACAGTAAGGAGAGGCATAAATTGTCATTTGTTTAGGTAAAATACGGAAAAGCTGCTTAAAAATGACCAAAACACAAAAATTGTGATTGTGAAAATGTGATTATACTGACTCACATTAGTGCCGAGTGCATAACAATTTTCCTTAATTTTCTCGTTTCATAATTTTGTTATTACCAACCAGCCAAAACCAGGAAGTCAGTTTTTTATTTTGAAAATCTGTCCACCCGTGTTGTGCTATTTTTGTTTTCTTGCTAGGCTACACATTGGCCAAAACGTGGTTGCCATCCACGTAAAAGTTTAAACAACTCCCTTTACACAGAGTTTGGCCTAGTTTGATTATTACTAGGTATTTTTGGCTTACTAACTGAATAGGATTTTTGTTGGTCCTGAATGGTACTCGCCTCTTGTAAAAAGTATTACAGTAGCTTGCATGGAGCTCTTTTCCCTCGGCCACACTCCCTACCCGTGGACACCAGGGGGCGGTGTTGAATTGTCGCCTACAGCATGTTCTCTTCCCCATCACCGCGTCTTTACCTGGGACCATCTTCACTTTTGTTTTGGGCGGAGAAAAGTCCTCAGGAGGAGCCAGGAGCACACACGGTCCGACATGCGCTCATGTGGTAGCACAAGTTCAACAAACCCGGACTCAGACACATCTCGTGAGATGCTCCAGCTTGGATCTTAGGGACTGAAGGGCGACCCCTGACAGGACCGTCCCGCCGCAGAGCCCACACTGTTCCGCGGACAGTGACGAGCAGCCAGCCCGCCTACCCCGGATCTACAGGTAAGCGTCTCTCAGGAATGTAAAGACAGACTGCTGCAAGACTTGGGGGAAATTCCTGTAGCAATACTTATTATGTGCAACTAAACTTCAGTCAAAGTTTAACTTAATAAAAAGTAACAACAGAAAGTTGTAAGAGATTTGTAAATCCGCTTTTCACTTACATGCAGTTGGTGGAGTTGCAGCCTACCTTGAGTTAAATAGGCTAACTATTCAAGTTCAGCAGATGTCATACGTGATGGTGCATCCTTTAGTTTTTAATCTTTTTTATTTATTTGTTTACTTTTTATTAGGTAAGGCTGTAAGCCTGTGACTGTTAAATGGCTGTTAATGATCAAAATAAGATTGTTGTTGTTTGTTGTGCAATGATAATTCAATAGTTGGTAGTAAAAGTTCAGAGAGAAAGAGTTGTTGTATGTACACCATAGCCTACAACTTAAATCCTGAAAGTGTGAAAATATGTGAAAGGTTCGGTGCATGTTGAAGCAAAGTTTTTAGCCCAAGGTATCGTTCTTTTTCGCCTCACTAGTTTTGCCTTTGACCAAGTTTTGAATCTTAAGTATGTACAGCCTGACTTCACTCTCTTGCTATGTTGCGATTTACGAAAAAGTCATTGTAACCCAAGTGTTTCAGATAGTTTTCATAATTGCATCATCATAGTGAGGACACTGTTTAGGTGACTAAGGTAATTATGACCCCGCACATCTAGCCTATCAGTGCATAATTGTTTTCTGGGTGCCGCCTGGCTGTCCCGGGCCCCTGCGCCGCGGGGGAAGTCCTGCCCGCAGACAGGCAGAGCAGCCCGGCTGGGGACATGCCGCGTCCTGCCGCTCCTCTGAAGTCTGCTGCTCAGCTTTGAACTGTAGCCGCTGGAGGTGGAAATCAATCCATCTATGTCCCCCTCCCTCCCTGTTTTACCTGGATGTCTCGTGCACACAGAGCCCCTAGCGCTTCTCCTCTGCACCATTGCTGCTGCCACTGATGCGTTCAAGTTTGGAGAAGGAGATAGAAAGGCAAAGGAAAAAGTGTTACTCATCTTCAAAAGAAATTAGTGAAGTATCTGGAGATTAAAGGGAGGAGTGAAGGGAAAGTATATTAGGAAGTTAAAGCCTACAGCACTACCACTACTACTGCTGCTGCTGCTATCACTACCACTGCTATACTAAACAAAAATGCATCAAGAAGTAGTCTTCAGAATATAGAGCTTATTTCTCCTGCATATATGTTTAACACCATTAAAAACAAAAATACAAATAAACATGGATGGACGCACTGATCAAATTAGAAAATTAAGTTACTGTGCACTACTACCGCCCTAGCATAGTCATTCTTACCACTACTCTAAGCACGTGTACTAGTACTACTAAAGAAAAAAAGGCTTTGATTTGTCTACATGGTAATGCTAGCAATGCCATGATATACTACTATTACATTTTTTAAAAGAAATATAGACTGTAGAGATTTAAGAGATAAGATGAGTGAAATGTATGAGCTTTGCCTTTAGTATTCTTCGCCATCACATGCCTGTGAGTTGAATACATAATGTGTTTACTCAGCCTATTTGTCTCTTTATCTTTCATTACACTCAGCACTTGAGTTTACACAATGACCTTATTATTTATCAGAGCGTGATCCAACAGAAAGAAAGGAGTCACTGGTGTTTTTTGTGAACTTTATAGCTGTGATTTATAGTATATGTCACAGCTGATTCCAATCTACACAGCATATCCCATTCTCTCATTGCAGTATTTATGGGCCTCCAGAGGCCTCTAACACTTGACTGTTTCATAATGCTTCACACATCTAAGTCTACATCAGGCTAAACACGCCATTCAGTTTACTTATGGAAGTCGAGATATTTCTATTTATTAGCTTACTATATAATTTATGGGTCACATGTTTGGCAAAGGATTTTAGTTAAGCCATATGCATTTAGTATGATTTTCCTATGTAACAATGTCTGCTCTGTCAACTTGGCAACAGAAAAAGATAACATTTGCTTGGTAAATTACATCTTATTTTGTGTGTGGGTGTGTGTGCGCGTGTGTGTGGGTGTGCACGCCTGTGTGCATGTGATTAATGCATTGTCATTTAGGTGTAAAATGTAGGCTACTCATTACAAGAACTGACTATATTTAAAATCAGGAAAATCTGATATCTAATTCGATGCACCAAATCCATAGGATATTCTGTCCTATATTACACAAAATTTACTCATGTGATCTTTAAGCCATGTTATAATACTGTTACCTTATTAAAACATGCCCGAAGTTGTGTTTTGTTTCATTCACACATTTGAGTATCCCTTTATTATTAGTCTTTCAACATCTCAAAAGCTCAAAATGCTCTGCTCCACCTTATGATGTCAATTAAAAGAAGCCTAATTATATAGGGTTTGTGTGCGAATGAAACAAAACACAACTCTGGGTATTTTTTGGATGAGGTATAACATAGATCAGAAAATAGTGTAATATAGGCCCTCTAACAAAGTCAAAAGCATTTTTACTAGCTTTAAAGGAGCACAATGTAGCTTTAGGGAGGTTGACATGGGTCCACCACCTGCTTGTCTCCATGGAGATATTGCTTTGCATGGGAAGTCTTACAGGTTCTACGGTATTACATACCTTTTAATGTTGCATAAAACTAGAAGATATTTTTTTGCACAAAAATACCTTGAAAAACATGCATTCTTACTGAGTGGAGGTACCACTCCACAGTTCTTGATGTGTAAATTTGCCTGGTGGCAAAAACATGTTAGTGTCCATGGAAATTGATCAGTTCAATTCCATAATAAGGAACATTCTAGGAAAAATAATAATGAAGACAAGCAGATAATGGGCTTCCTCAAAAAGTTTCATAGTGCAACTTAAATGATATAACCTGCTCTCTGTATATTACTCCTATCACAAGGCATTTCTTTCCACTGGTTACCCAAATGTCCATGCTTGGCCTTTCTGAATTGGGGACTAAAATGTATGAATTTGGATGTTCTTTTTCACATATGGGGAGTAATTAAAGATTAGAGACACTCTTTACCTGCATCAGATTGCAGTATAAAAGTCTTGTTAGCTCACAATTTGCAGTCTCCTAAGTCTTTAAATTCTCTCGTGACTTTTTAATGGATTGTCAAAGATTTGTGCTTTGAAGATTCCTCCAAACTCACAACCACATCAAGGCATCACGGCAACTGCAGCTCAGAGCAACAGGGTTTCCCATAAGCCCCGAGATTTGTATGAAATCTTAATTGAAGATGAGCAAATTTGTTTTAACATGCAACTGTATCATCTATATTTAGACTTTAGGTAGAGTGTATGCTTGCAGTGACATATTTTACAATGAGGGTTATTTAAAATTAGTATCTAAAATTGCAAGCAAAGTAATGGTGGTATAGTAGCTAGAAAGCATTTGCCCATGTAGCAACTGATAACGTAATAACAGCGAGTAATGTAATAATGGCCAATAAAGTAATACGTTAATCATTTTAAATGTAATAAGCCCATAATGTAATAATTATGAGCCATTATTTCAAATTATTACATTATTGCCCATTATTACGTTATTGGTTGCTACAGCCAACCAACCCAAAGTTCAACATTTTATCCCTGCTGCCATTGTGTCCCTGGACATTGGATCCCTGACTCTTCACCCACCTCACTTTTGTATAGATGTGCAGAGTGAGTTTGAAGTGACTGAATGATTAGGCTTGCCAAGCTTATAAATGCACAATCAAAATGTAAGTTTAATTTATAGTGGTTGACACAGAGAGGGTTCTGTGTTCAGTTCTTCGTGTTCAGTTCTTGTTGTTCTGTATTAGTGCATTTGCTTCACCATAAATGTTAAACTCAAAGGATATGGTTTTGGAAAAATCCATTATTCAAATACTCATCTGCACTTAAACCAGTACTGAAATAAGATACTCATTTGAGGCACTGATGCTGATAAAACACATATTACAACAGAATTGAGCTTTTCCCATGCAGTTTGGGATTGATCTTGATCTATCATCAAAACAAGTCGTGCACATGGTAATATTAATTAAAACCTTGTACTTGGAATATATATTGAAATTTAAGTATTGCAACAACACTTGAATAAACATAATCTTCTGTCATGTCAACAGAAAAAACATTTCTCCTTGACAAAACACAGCATTATATTCAGTCCGTGCTTATATTGTACGGCACCACTTATGCCAAGGGTCCACCACCAAAATTAGATGAATTAGCAATTTGCTTGACTAACTTGGCCGCAGTTTAGGCTCTGCTTCCTCAATGAGTGCAAAGTAAACACAGACAGAGTCTGACTTATGTTCTGAACGAAAAGAGAGGAACAAGGATCAGCACGAGGAGATGAAAGACAGATAACCGGCAGGCAGGAATCAAAGCTGTCGGGATAGGTGTGTGCAATTGGTGTTAGTGTGCATGTGTGTATGTATGTGTGTGCGTGTGTGCACGTATGGGCCAGGGTGTACTGTATGTGTGACATCCTTTCATTTGATGTGAGTTTGTTTTTCCTGTGCCGCGAGAGGGAAGCCGACTATGAGTCTGTAATTAACACAATCAAAAGACGAAGAGAGATGAATGAAGATCACACATAAACACTGCCTCACACATGTAATCTGCAGGACCAAATGTTATTCTTAAGCAATTAGATTATTTGGGGTGTTTTTGTAGTCGAAATAATGGTCACAGTCAAACCACTTTAACTTTGGTTGATGATCAGAAATAGGGAATTCCAGTTGCTGCATGAAAGCTTAGTGGAATTATTATGTTGCAATACACATTTTCTTTTTAGATGTGCTCCGGAAAGGATTTTTGAGGCTGATCTCGGATGCCGATCATCTGAATTTTTAATCTGTCGATACCGATCACTGAAAATACTGATCACATGTAGAGATCTCTTACTGGTAGTGGATATCTGCGCCAGGATTGAAACATTTTCTGGATTGGATATCGGCTTCCAATTATCAGTTAAGATGACATCCTGGCCAGAAAGCCTCATAA